CCACCTCTCTGGGGTCCTCGCGGCGCAGCGACCACTAGGACTAGGGTAGCCCCAGCCGCCCCCGTGCACCCAGGACGGTCGGAAGGAATGGGTGGCAGCGCTCTGCCCATAGGGACTCTGGTCGTGTTGAGGTAGGAGTGCGTTGACTGTATTCTGGGGTGCTGATGACTGTTAGGGGGCTAATGCGCCGGAAACTGCGAGGGTGGGTGGGGAGTGAGAGGAAAGGACCCGCCACTAGGACTAGGGTAGCCCCAGCCGCCCCCGTGCACCCAGGACGGTCGGAAGGAATGGGTGGCAGCGCTCTGCCCATAGGGACTCTGGTCGTGTTGAGGTAGGAGTGCGTTGACTGTATTCTGGGGTGCTGATGACTGTTAGGGGGCTAATGCGCCGGAAACTGCGAGGGTGGGTGGGGAGTGAGAGGAAAGGACCCGCCCACACCCATGATCCTCTTTGAACGTAACCCCCCACTTCCCGCAGGTTCAAAGGGGATGGAAAGGGATGGGGGTGGGCAGCTCTGAGGTTTTTAGGGGTTCAGCTTGAAAACTTGTATTTCCTTGTTTTCCCTATGAAAGACCCAAACGTGGAATTGCTGATGATAAGAAAGGTGGACCCCTCAGGCCCCGGGTTTACTTATAGCGACCCAAACCTGGAGGACCCAGTGAGCGGCAGGGAAAGGCAACATGTCTAAAAAGCTACAGCACCGCGGCCTGTCCCTGAGTGTTACTGAGGGATTGGTACAGGCTCCCTCTATGAAGCACCTGTGAATACAGTCCGTGGTGTGACTGCTTTAATCACGATTCTATTTCGCCTTGGTGAGGCCCTTGGGCCAGCAGGGCTCTCCACAGCTCCTCGGAGATAAGCAGGGCAGGCAGCCCGCACTCCCTGCCTACATGCCTATCCCTTCACCCACAGTGTCACTGTTGAGATGACCATCTGGCCAGATTTGGGGACCCCAAGGCAAAAGAAGGGCTTCAGGGGGCCTGGAAAGACTGGCTCAGCATAGGTGTGCAGGTGGGACCCGCTGCTGGCATTGTAGAAAGACACCTCCCCAGCCTCAAAGTCCAGGAAAATGCCCACATGGCTGGGGGGCTCCGTCAGTGTGATGGGGATCACGGTTGACACGGGGGGCACATACTTCTTTCCCTTGCACAGCTGTACAACCCAGAATCCATTTTCCGGGGACTTGGGGACTCTATCCGTCCGGCTCACGTTGTCCCTGCACACACCCAGGGCCCACAGCGCATCCCCTGTGAGGTTCATGCCCACCTCCCAGTAGTGCCGCCCTGAGGAGAAGGTCTGGCAGCCCACTGCACAGGGGTAAGCCAGGAACCTGTCCTTGCTGCAGGGTGTGCCCTCTGGTGCCGTGCTGAGGTAGTGCCTCTGGTGGCTCTCGTACAGGAGGAGGTATGGGTACGCTGTGGCAGGGTCGGGTATCACGTTCTCTGCAGACAGGGATGGGGCTGAGTCATCCCTGTTCTCCCTGACCACCACCCTCCCAGGCCTCCCCTTGGCTGAGTCCAGCTGTGAGCCTGGATCTCTGCATGGGCCGTACCCCAGCTGCCGATGTTGATGGTGCCAAGGAGATGAGCTGGGGACCATTTGGGCATCTGGGAGTGGCAGGTAAGGGTAGGGTGTGAATTCCCAGTGAACATCACGGCTCCCAGGGGTGGCTCTGGTCGAGAGACTGGCCCCACTTACCTTGGAAACTCTTGAGCACCTCTATCTGCCCCGGGACTCTGCAGACAGTCCTCAGTGAGATGGGGGTGGCCTCTGGGTACTGCACACTCAAGCTGTTCTTCCTCCAGAGGGAACAGATGTTACTGACCCCTCTGGCCCCATGTGAAGCCCTCCCTGCCTGCACCTCAGGCGGTTATATACCTGTCCAGAGGCTTCTTCATGTCCTGCGAAAACACGGAGAGAGGGAGGGCTGCTACATCTTGTTAGGGATCTGGGGCGTCCCCAAGACCCCTGTGTGGACATTTCTGGCCTGCAGAACAAGCAGAATTCATAATGCTTTCCTGTGACCCTCTTTCCAGTTTTCAGAATGGATCTCTCTCTTGGCCACCAGGGTCTCCTGCCGTCCCCCTGCATGTGAGTAAGAACACAAAAGCTGTCCTGCTCTCAACGGGGGGAGGGGGGAAGGCATGGGGGACCCAAGGGCACTGCCACACCGCAGGCCTTGGGCAACTCAGGAGTGTTTAGTGGGTGGTGAATAGGCTGCTTTGTACTAGAAGACCAAGTATTCCCCAAAGCTGGGGCGAGTGCGTAGTCCCTTAACTAAACCAGGACACTGTTGTCCCAAGATGCCAGGACGACAGGCACGAGACTGGTGCTGACCTTGCACGTGGCATTGCTTCCGTTGTATAAACACGCCGTGTGTGTGACGACTCACAGCACGAAATATGTTTCTTGCTATGGATTCCATTTTTCCACACAATTCACAAGACAGTTACCCACTGTCGGCCAACATAATCACTCCCACTTCTCTGGCCTCCTGTGCAAGCCCATCCCTGACAGTCCAGCGGCACCTTCTTCCCGATTCCAAATCCTTAGTAGAATCACATGACTTGCTCCTGCCTTGAATTCACTGGGCCTGACCTGGCTGGTGTGTCCCTGCCCCAAGTCACCGAGTGGATGTCAGCTGCCCCTGGGCCATCCCCCACCCCACAGACTAGGAAGGGAATGCAGAACACAGGTGTCTAGGACTGGAGTCTGTCAGGCTGATTGTGTCGCTTGGCCCTGGTCGGCAAACTGCGGCTCACGAGCCACATGCGGCTCTTTGGCCCCTTGAGTGCGGCTCTTCCACAAAATACCGACTTCTGCGCATGGGCCATGAAGTTTCAATCGCATTGTACGTGCGCACCCGCACGTGGTATTTTGTGGAAGAGCCACACTCAAGGGGCCAAAGAGCCACATGTGGCTCGAGAGCCACAGTTTGCCGACCACTGCCCCAAACCAACATGTTGGAGCCCAGCCCTCAGGACCTCAGATGAGGCTATATTTGAAGATGGGGCCTTTGAAAGGTAATGAAGGTGAAATGAGGTCACAAGGGTGGGCCCTAATCCAATGTGACTTGGTGACATTAGCAGATCAGGACAGCTGCACAGTGGACAACCATGTGCAGACACAGGGAGGAGATGGCATCCACACACCAAGGAGAGAGGCCTCAGGAGAACCAGTCTTCCAGCCTCCAGACTGAGAAATAAATGTTTAAGCCCCAGCCTGTGGTATTTGTTACGCAGCCTGAGCTGATGAAGACAGAGCCTTCCCTGTTGGCCTGTATTTGCCCTGGCAGGTCCACCACACCTGGGCCAGAACTTGTGTCCACCCCGCCCAGCCAGGTGAGCAGGTGAGCCTCACCTGCAGCATCTGCAGTGGCTCCCGAGTGCAACAGTCCTCCAGCCGCAGCAACAGGGTCTCCAGGGAGCAGCTCTGCTGCTCTAGTGCAACCATACTCTCCCGCAGCCTGCCAGCGGTGTCCTGCTCCTCCTGCTGCAGGGCCTCCAGGAGGCGCTGTTCCTCCTCCACTAGGAGAGCAGCCATCTTCTTGAACTCCGTCACAATGCGCTGTCTCTGCGTCCTCACCTTCTCCTGCAGGGTGGGACCTGGAAGTGAGGCACTGCCAGGGGACTACCATCCTGTGCCCACCAAGTTGGAGGGGCCACTCCTGGGAGGCTGGCACATCACATGGCCACAGTGACCCACAGAAAACCGCACAGCTGGTGGAGGGGCCACGCAGAGCCCCCATCACTGTGGGGTGACCCCATGAGCCCAAATGGCCATCAAGGCCTCTGTGTACCCCTCAGTCCCTGCTTCAAAGTGGCCAATCTGGGCTGAGTGCACATTCTCAGTCCTGACTCTGGTTGGAATTCCGTGCCTCTCCTGAGTCTTATGCTGTCATCCATCTTGAGGGTCCACAGGTTCTAGAAGCCCTGCAGTACCCTGGGGCCTGGCCAGGCCTTCCCGCCCGTTCCTCGAGGTCTCAGCACCTGCCTGCCACTCGGCCAAGGCCTGCTGCTCCCTGGTCTGCAGCTTCTCGGTCTTCGCCATTTCCTCCCGCAGGTGCCCCATGTCACCCTCCAGCTTCAGCTGCAGACAACAGACCGCGGGATAGGAGTTGGAGGCCCCCTGCACACCCACTTCAGGAGGTGCCCTCTGAAGCTGCATCAAAGGGAATGGAAATGCACCCCATAGCCTGCCCCTTGGGCATGAGAATTATTTTAAGCTGGAGGCAGAAAGACACCTTCCGAGGCTCCTGTTATGTGACTAACAGCAGAAACTGCTGAGGAATGAGGGTTGCCACAGGTCCGCCTCCCAGGGGAAGTTTTATGGCTCTGAAGGAGGTGGAAAGTGGGACACCACTCTTTAACTTTATTGTTTGTTGGTTTCCCCAAAGTACTTTCTGTTATGATCTGAATGTTCATGTCCCCCCAAATTCACATGTTCAATCCTAACCCCGAAGGAGATGGGGCCTTTGGGAGGTGATGAGGTCAGAAAGGTGGAGCCCTCAGGAATGGGGCTACTGCGGAAGAAGGGGCTGAGAGCTCCCAGCCCCCTTCCATGTGAGGACAGTGGGAAGTTGGCTGTCTATGAACTGGGAAGGAGCCCCCACCCGACTGTGCTGGTGCCCTGGTCTTGGACTTCCAGCCTCCAGAGCCATGAGCATGAAGTTCTTGCTGCTTATAAGCCGCCCAGTCGTGTGTTCTGTGACAACAGCTGGAATGGACAAGACACTTTCCCAGGTGCTGCCCTTGGGAGTCTGTCACCTTTCCCTTTGTCTCTTCTCTCTAAATGTACTGTTCCTTGTTCAGATGCTAAACAAAACCATCCAGCCGGCCACACACAGTGCTGTGCTTTCTTCCTGTGATGTGTGCGAGCCACATGTGTTAACAGTGTGCTTTTCTCTCCTTGATTTGTCTTTTCTCAGTCTGATTTAGGGTGGAAGAAAAAGGCCCTTTCCTCCCCTACAAAGGGTCACCTGGCCGGCCCACACAGTGGCTTAGAGGCTACTTTTGTCAGCCTGGGCTCTATAACTGTGGAGGGGATGCTCAGCTGGCCCTGCCACCTACCTGCTTTATTGTGGGAGTTACAGACACTTCACTGTGGGGTCCAGCATTTGGGGCTGTTTGTTGCAGTGGTTGTTCTATCTGACTGATACACCCCTGGACACACAGACATGCACTCAGACCTCCTTGACCCGTTGCCCTTCACCCCTGGGCCCACCTTGTGCTCCTTGACAGCCTCCTCCACCGGGACCACTCTGTGAGGCCGGTGTTCCTGGGACTCCCTGCAGACCACGCAGATGGGGCTCTGGTCATCTTCGCAAAAGAGTTTGAGCACCTCCTGGTGCACCTGGCACAGATCCCTGCTCTGGATGCCCGGGTGCTGTCGTGCCATCTCAGCCACCTTGGTCAGCAGGCGGTTGGGCCGCAGGGTCCTCTGGGGGGACAGCTCGCGGCACTCGGGGCAGGGGAAGACACCCTTGCGCTTCCTCCTGCCCTTCTTGCCTTTGGCCTTCTCCCAGGTCAGCCGGATGCACTCACGGCAGAAGTTGTGGCCACAGGTGGTCATCACAGGGTCAGTGAAATAGTCAAGGCAGATGGAGCATGTTGCCTCCTCCTGCAGCTTTCTGGAAAGTTCCACAGCATCCATGGCTCCTGGGAAAGAAACAGAGTATCCGGCCACACCCTCTGCCCAGAACCCCAGGCACTTGAGGTGTCCTCTTGTGGACAGCACTGTACATGGTCCTGTTAGGGCACCTGGTTTGTCTTCAGGAAGAGGCATAGGTGCCTCTCTGAAAGCTGACAAAGACTCTCCACAACCGAATTCAGCCAGGTTCCCCTATGCTGCCACCTCTATGCCTAGCCATGCCCAGTTTTATTCCATTTAGAGCCCATCCCACCCCTCCTATGATGACTGTGCAGGAATCCTGCTAGTCAGTTCAGCAACAAGTCCCCTCCCCATTTCTCTTCATCGTGATTTTCCATCACTAACCCCCTCACCGTGCCCTGGCCATCTTCCCTTTGTGTAGGCTACAGTAGGAGATGACCCCATCTTCCTCCCTATTGCAATAGTCTTGAATAAAGTCTTCCTTACCGGTGTAACCTGTGCCAGAATCAGTTTTTCTTTAACAAGACATCCATGCAACAAAGGAAAGGAGGACTTTAAAAGGAAAAATCAGAGTTGGAAAAGTTCTCTGTTTGACCAAACTCTATTCAGGCTCCCAGGACTTTCCAAATAGGCCCTGGGCTTCCGTGTTTGTGTCTCCGTTGTCCAAGTTCAATAAGAATCCCAATATGTGGGTTTAGATAGAAGCCCCTACCCCAGTGGTTCTCAACCTTCTGGCCCTTTAAATACAGTTCCTCATGTTGTGACCCAACCATAAAATTAATTTCGTTGCTACTTCATAACTGTACTGTTGCTACTGTGATGAATCGTAATGTAAATATCTGATATGCAGGACAGTCTTAGGCCACCCCTGTGAAACGGTCTTTCAACTGCCAAAAGGGTCGCAACCCACAGGTTGAGAACTGCTGGCCTACCCAGTGGCTTCCTGTTAGTAATTTCCTGTCACTCACCCACCTTGACCATAAATCCCTACTGGGAGTTGAGCTTTCTGTGGGATTCTGTGCTTCCCCTACGGCAGTCCTGAATAAAATGTTCTTACTGCTCTACCTACCACCCAGGTGTTCTTTGCCAAGATGCAGTACAGAAGACACGATGGTTCATGCTCACACAGACAGAGGCACGTGCACACACTGGTGTTTGAACACCCATGCCCTTATGCAGTTCAGATCCAAGGTCTCCCCATGCACCTCAGGGGGTGGTCACTGGGGCGAGGCAGCGTAGATCTGAGAGTCATTTCTGAACCACAGCACTACCCGAGTTCCCTTCCCTGCCATCACCAGAGAGATGGCTCTGATATTTCAGACACTGGGTTCACCCTGTGGAAGCTGCTCTCTCTAAGCAGAGCCCTTGGGATCGGTTGCTCCTGATGCCTACCCACCTGAAGCCAGATGGGCTCAGGATGGTCTGGTGGGCACCGGTCTGCTTCAGGTTCAGGGGAAGGGGGCCAAGGACTCTGGGTCAGTGAGGTGGGCCCGTGGCCCTCGGTCCTGGGCATGCTCCTGTAATTAGGGCTAAACCAGGTGACCCTTCCGGTTCCAACCTTCAAGCTGGGACCTCAGTGTACGGGCGCCCCTGGATAGACTGGTACTCACCGGGGAGAGGGGTGAACGCTGCCCGACCAGGCGCCCCGGACCACAAGCGCAAACGGAGGCGCTGGGAAACCTGCGTTTGCGCCACAGAGACCAGGCGGAGGTGGGTGCGGTGGCCTCGGGGGCGCGGGCTTTGTGGCGTCAGCAGAGGCTAGGAGGCCTTAGCGGGTGTGTGAGTGGTGAGGAGGATTGGGGTGGGTGTCAGCAGTCACGGGCAGGGGCGGGAGCAGACTTGGGCGGGGTGAAAGGCGGAGGGCAGTGTCCTGGGTGGGGAGAGGGATTTTGGATAGACCAACGGGGATAAGCCAGGGGTGAGGATAGAGACCGTACTCTTGTCCCTGGATGGGGGTAGGCGAGTTGGGGGGCAAAGGGAGGACACGTGGTGTGGGGATAGGAAAAGCTTTGGGAAGAAGGGGAGAGGGCAGCCGGGGGGAGAGGGGGGGGCTGGGGGGGAGGGGCGGTACCTGGCGTTGGGAGGAAGGTGAAGGTGATAGAGGCAGCGAAACCGGCACCGGGTTGGGGAAGTGATAGGGGCGCTGGGAGAAGTGATGAGGGTCTGTTCTCCAGGAGGCACCCGGGAGGAAGGAGAGGGGCGGCGCCCGGACCGGGTTAGGAGGGGCGGGGGGTCCACAGGGGCACCGGACAGGGTGGGTCCCTGAGGGTCTGGCCAGTGGTGGAGGTGATTTTGGGGACTCCCAACCCTGACCTAGGCCTGCCCTGGCCATTGGCTGCGCACACCGGAGTCCTACCCCTGGGGAGCGGACATATGAGGAAGCTAAGGTTCGTGCCACCGCCAAAGGGCGGAGCAACAGACGGGCCTCTTGTCCAGGGGCGCGGGTGTGGACGGCCAGGCCGTGGCTGCAGGCGGGTGGCTA